ATTAAGCTTTAGTAGTTATCTTCACTACAAATACTTGGAATACTTGTCTTGATTACCAAGATTTTGATTGTTCTGTAGTGAAGATGACCTAAAAAAATAGATCATCTCAGCTATCTGCCCAAACAAATTCTCCTGCTGTCCAGGTGAGCAGAGGGCAGGATGGGAACTTAAGTAGTCAAGCAAATACTCTTATGAATTACTAACCTGCAAGCCATAGCTGGAATGATGCAGACAGTGTTTGGACTTTATAACAGCTGGATGTAAACATGAATATTGGTATTTAAATGGCAGCCAGGCTTTAACCTTTGAGTCCTATCTGGCATCAGGTAGTCATCAGCTGAAGTATGCAATTAAACACAAACTTTGATGCTGAAAACAGTAACAAGTAAAAGCCACTCCTTACCTCTCAAGTACCTGCGCTGCTTTCCACCTAGTGGTCTAGAATACCTCCCTCCCATCTTCCACGCTGTAATCCTTCCCGTTTCCTAAGCTTCCTGTCCAAAGTCCTAAGCAGAAAGGAGCTGCCCCACAGAGCAATTTGTTAGGCTCTGCAGCAGGGATTGCCCCTTTCTGTCATACTCATCTCCAGATTTTCCGCTCATAAATATTCAAATGTTTCTTTCAGAGCAGCCCCTACACCCACACCCCTACACACAAGCAGGTCTTAAAGAGACAGCAGCACTGCAAGCCCCACACCCATACCTTAGACACAAATGTTAAGAAAAGGTTTAAGCCACTTAGAAGATTGTTGTGTTGTTGTTAATCCTGAGAGGGTCTGTGTGTGGTCATGGCTGATATAACTGTCAATAGCTCTATTCATTATTAAATAGAGTGAAACAACCTTGCCGTAATCTTGGGCACAATGGAACTTTACACCAAAGAGTAAAAATACCAAATTGCTTCAATATACTGCAAGGTGCAAATAGCAATTTCTCACCTAGGAAAAGTTCTGCTTACAGCAACCTCACCTGTGCAGAGGAAGGAAAAAAGGATTTCTCTTTCACCAAGTCCCACTGCACTGGAGTTGGAATTTATGGTGGCTGGGGACATGCAGACTATAAAGTCATTGGGTGTGATGTAATCTGCTCTAAGATTTTAATCACAGGTGCCCCAAGCTTACTTGCAAATCCCTCTTGCTCCTTCCACAATTCTGACCACCAGCAATGCAAAGCATCCCACAATGAATTAAAGGACTCCCTCCACAAGAATTGAAAGCCAGAGATCATTTCATTTGCAAACCAAGCAACAGTGACCAAATCTAGCAGTGTCTGACATTAGTATGTTTTTGAAGCATTTCAGAACTTGAAAGCAGAGTTTATATTAAGAACAGCTTCTTATGGAAACACTGTACAGGTCATTGCCTTGCACCTGTTTTCAGTTCTCAGTTCCTTTACAGAGTTTCTGCTTCTCCTGATTAAATTGAACTAAGTGATCTTCTACTTTTAATGTTGTGCATCAGGCAGTTTCCAATGACTAAACGACCTCACCCCAGGATATGTAGAAAGAGGAAATGCTCTGCTCTCTCTGAGCTGGAGCATTCATCAGTTGAAAAGCCAAACAGAACTCTACCAAGAAGCAACAGAACTGAAAACTACATAAATGAAATACAAAAATCTTATGGAAAAATGGCCTCAGAATCACCAAGAGATGATCCAGGACCATACAGCAGAGATGAAGAAGAGTTGGCAGTGGTCTGTAAAACAACACTCAGTATAAGGAGTAAGACTAATCAGACATGCTTCTTTGCTCCATCTGAGGAATTATTTCCAGACTCTTTTACTGCTCATATAACTCAAAACCTACTTAAATCATGCCTGTGAGAGTTGCGAGTCAGGATAAGCATCTGTCAGATATCTGAAGGAACGTGTTATCAACCACCAGTTGTATGCAGAATTCCCACTGAGCATGTGTGCATTTTGCTAGTTTCTTTGTTTTCACATTCCAAAAAAGAGAGCTCTAGAATTAGGCAGGAATAAGCATGATGCCATTTTCTTTTATTATGATTTACAGAACTAATTCCAAACCCCTACCAGGAATTTGGGTCTTGTTTTGCACTTTCAAGAAAGGTGAAACAGGCAGTTGCATCCTTTCTGGGGAGTGTCCTTTAAGAAAGCATGAAGAGTTTTTGAAAAGGAAGGGTGCTTCTAATTGCCTAATCTCAGGAGATGCTGTGTACCTTTCACTCCAATGCAAGTCAATAGGAGTGGAATGCACTCAGGGCCTCACAGATTAAGTTAAACAAGATCAAGGCAAGAATTGGAACAGTAATGCAGAAAAGGAAGGTTGCAGAGCCTATGAGTGAGAGACAATAGGAACAGGCCCTCAGAGGACGCAATTTTTAGGACAAAATAGGGCATTCAGTAAATGGAAGGGCTACTTCAGGTACAAGGGGAAGCACGCAATAGACCCCCAGCGAATGAGAGAAAGATGAATGCGACACAAAAGCAGGAGGACTGATAACAAATGCAGAAAGCATAAACACACACACAGACACACACACACACACAACAGTCTTCTAAGTCTCCCAACTCCAGCTTTTACTCAGTCAGATTAGGGAGAAAAGTACAGGTGCATTTCTGCCTGACAGTGTGTTACTAAATCTGTTTCCTGTTTCTGCACACAGACTGCAGCTGCCTCAAGAGTCAGGAGATTCTGAGACAAGGAGCAGCAAGAACCACAGATGTCAATGTGTCAGAGTCTATCTGCATCTCTGTACAGCTGCTTTTAATGAAAGCTGACAGAAGGGTGAAGAGAAGAGCTCACAAACCAGCCTTCTTTTGCCTAATGCTACTGGAATTTATGAACTAGGAGATGAATGCAGCAGAATCCAATGGTGTTGAGAAGAATCCCAGACCAAGAAAGAAAATGCTGTTGGGGAAGTGGCAGAAGTTATACAATGCTGACTGTTAGAAAGAGACAGGGGATTTGATCCATGGAGGATAAGCAAAGTCTTGTCTGGACCAGTCCCTTAGCAGGACCCTCTTTTGGATCTATTTGGATAAAAGGAAAGGGATATACCCACAGAAAGCACATGTCCTGGGTCAAAGACCTGGTTTCAATCCTTCCTGTTTGTCCAAAGTTCTGTCCAGCTTTTGCACATCATTTCTATAATGTGTGACCTTCAATTTACAGCTCAGGAACAGGAGTTTGGATTCCTGAGTTTTATTCCCAGTTTGCCACAGATTTGCTCTGATTCCTCGTATAAATATTTCACCATCCTCTACTCAGTTTGTTCACCAGTAAATTGGGAATAACATTTACCCCAACTCCAAAGAGTTTGCTGTGTTTCCAAACAAACCTCCCATCACCCAGACATCTATAGTACTTTCCCCTGAAGGAGCATTAAAAGTCCCAGAATCAACAACTTCCCAAATCCCAAGACTGCTCCTTCACAAGAATAAGGGCTGAAAGCTCATGCCTAGAGCTGCTAATGAAGCAAAGCTGCTACCCAAAGATAGAGCACGCAAGAGCCAAAGGGCTGAAATTTACATCTTTAATATTGTGCATTCACTTTACACCACATGAACCGTTCACAAGACAGACTGCACCACACTATCCTCCTCCGCGATCCCAAGCGTTTCCAGTTGCAGCTAGAGATCAAATACAAGCACCCTATATCTTCCCTCCCCAACCAAAGAGATTATACAGTGCTCCACAAAGTACCACTTGCTTAAAAAGAGAAACAAAAAAGACAACATTAGTTTAGTGCCACTCCCAAGTACTACGACCAGATGTGGAGTCCTTGACTTGGAATGTTACAGAGCCAGCTCTTTGCAGGTCTTGCAGTCAGTGCTACTGGATCCCGATCCTGAAACCCAGCCTAACATTTGGTTCTACAAGATAGAGTGCTTCTCGAAGGGAACAGTCAGCTCCTTGGCTGCAGACTCATCCAGAAACCAGTGCAGCTTCCCAGTATGAGGCTGGACAAGAGCAGCGGGGAGAGGGTTCGCCTCATCACCTTCCAAAATTCGCTGTCCAAAGAAACAAAATATTATCTTAATCGGTTCTATTAATGCAGGGGAAACCACACAATGAGACGACCAATGAGATTTTCATAAAAACCAAGCACACATTGTAGGGCTGGCTAAAAAAATTCAAGCCTTTTAATCCTCCAATAGAAGGTGTCTTTTTGACTAACTTGAAGATTTTAAGATTTGGGGCTTTTCATTTTAAAAAAGAACCACAACTTTTCATTTTGAAAGCTTACCTTTAAGATGGCAGCTTTACTGTCCCCTGTAGCAACAAAAACCACAGTCCGCGCAGCATTCAGAACAGGCAGAGTTAGAGTTATCCGCTCAGGCGGTGGCTTTGGAGAATCACTAATAGGGGCAACTATCTTGTCTTTCTCCTGCCAGGAAAAACAAAATCAAAACGTGAAAATCTGTCAGAACGGTACAGAGGGAGGGGTCAAGCTAAAAGGCAGCCTGTATGAGACTAAAGATCAGTACCAGGCCTCAGCTCCACATCGCCACAAATAAGTACTAAAAACCTTCAGCCAGATGTGAGCTAGACTCCATACAGACAGATCCCTGTGGCTTCAGTGAGGCTCAACAGGGGCACCAGGCACCAGCAAGGATCACAATGCAGGAGCAGACTTAAGGGGACAATGCCTGTAAGAAGAGTCAGATTCCTGCAGCTTTCCTTCCCTTCCCTCCTTCCTTTCAAAATATCATCTTTGCAGCTGTTCATCCCACCGCAAAGCTCTTCAGCAGCTTGGAACAACCACATGCATGTACGCATAAATCTATCAACCACAAAGTTTAAACTATAGCAGACAAATCATGTCTCATCAGACTCATTAGTAAAATGCATCATTGATATCTACTATACAGTATACCGTCTCTAGCTCTAAAAATCTCACCTGTAGAAGTGGATGGTCTGGGAACAGAGAGCAGGTATGACCATCTGGCCCTACTCCCAAAATCAGCAAATCAAAGACAGGCATATTCTCACCTTGAAAGGCCTGCAGAAAGGAACACAAACCCAGAAAAATTAAATCGAACAAAGAGTAAACCAGGGCACTGAACAGAAAAAAAGCCTACATCACACCTGAGTCTGGGCTGTTCAACTGGTTCAGTGTATCTTGAAAAGCTGATTCTTAGGATCCCAAGCTAACTTTATCGGTTTCTTTTGGCAGCTCAATAATTTGGTCCATTTAAGAGCAGTTCTGTTAAACCCAATTGTTTTAAAGCACAAAGCTCTCTACAGAGTCTTCTGGGGAAATTATTAATGAAGGCATATGGGAGAAAAAGAGGCTATTGTAGAAAAACCAAATTTAGGAGAAAATGACTGAATTTAAGGTCAAATTTAAGATTTTATTTTAAATGCATTTATTTTTTTACTGAATTACATTATTAAGCATCTTATTTTTTAAAACACTTTAACATAACATGCTTCCATCTGTGGGGAGACGCATTTTATGACAATATTTCTAATTCAGACACTGAAGCTTCAAACTAGAACCTAAACCTCAAGTAAATTTAATTCAATTATTCTAACTGACTAAAAAGCCACAAGAGTGCAAACGGTATTTGCAGCCAAAAATAAATTAAACTCAAAAGTTTTTAACATCTGGCATCATTAGTGGCAACACAGCTATGCAAATACGGGTTCTAATTTATGACTTTTAAGAACATAGTGACTGATTAACTCGGATTTGACAGAGTGACACACAAAACAATATTACTGCACCTCTTTTAACTTTGCAGCATAGTCTGAAGCAGCCTCTTCAACAGGTAACGAAGAGTTAATGGTAATCACTTGGTTTTCTGGGATGGAAATCTTAGAGAGGAGATGAGTCTGAAACAACAATCCAGTCCCACAAAATTACAACCAGGAACAAAGCCCCACTGTTTTATGCAAGAGCCTTTTTCTTTCCCACCAATCAAGAAAATTACTACACATTTCTTTCCAAGCTCTTGTGCAGGGGACAACATCTGCAAGAGCCAGAGACTGTAACTGCTATTAACTCAGTGTTACTGGATTCAGGAGCTTTGTGATATGTGGCATTGCAAACCTACTTGGATTTGACACGGCAGACACTGCACATTGGAGCTCTCCCCCAGCCATGTCCCTGCTCCCCTGTGTGGCCAGAGGCCAGGCATTTTCTCCCTGCCTCAGTTTCTCTTTCTGTCAGGCTGGGAGCACCCTGCTGGCTCACGCTGTTGCTGGCAGATGCTGACTGCTCGGAGAAGTAATCCAGCTGCACATGCTGCAGGGACTGCTGCTTGGGGCAAGGCTGTGATCATCAGTAACAAAGAAGGCAGGGCAGAGCCGTGCCTACAGACCAGCTGAATTTAACACGGGTGGGCCCAGTACAGACATTACACTTTTACCGGTATAAGTGATCAGAAACCGGTCTGCCTGTACCTGTAACAGAACAGACTTCTGGCGTGCACAGGCTGGTATAAACAGGCAAAACTAGGCTAAGGTTTGCTCCCTCCACCAAAGGGGGGACATGTGCCCTGTTTGAGTCGATGTGAACTACGCTGCACACAGAAGACGGTGTGGCTGGCTGAGATCGATCCCGCCTTGGGCTCTTTGAACATCTGAGCCCACCCTAGAGAGCTCAAGCTTTGCGAACGCAGGATGCCTCGGCCGGGCGCCCACGAAGTCCTGCTCGGGAAGCACCCGACAAAGGGGCCGCGGGTCACCAAACCCCCGCTCTCTGCTCGCAGATCTCGCTCCCTGAGATCGGGGGCAGATGTTTAAGAAACCGATTTCACCTCCGTCAGTTCAGTCCGATACGACACCCACCCAGGTGGATCTGAAAGCGGTTTGGGCCATTCTGAAAGCAGTTTACGTGCAGGGAACTTCTGCAGGGTTACAGATTTGAACCGGTTTCTGATCACTTATAACGGGTTACTTGTAACTTCTGTCCCCCCGTCCACGGGAGCCCGTTCCCCTGCAAGGGCCCGGTGTCCCCGCCCGCCCGCCGCGCCGGCACCTT